AAGGCTGGGGTACCGAGACTTACGGCGCTCATGTCAGCCTCAAAATTACCGTCCACGTCAGTGTCTGACGAATCACCTTCTGGAATAGCACTTTCAGGTTCTCCCTCATCTTCGCTGTCCACATAGTCCTCGTCTTCATCCTCTTCATCCTCATCCCATGCTACCTGAGGAGGTGCAGAAGATCGTACAACTGTATCTTCTTGACCGGTACAGTGTGCAGTAGTGGTTGTATGCACCGGTAAAGATGAAGATTGTCCAACATCAACTTCAACATATATCTCAATATATTTTAATACTTTCCATTCAACAAACGCATCTGTTACGAACTCCACATCTTCATCATCATTTATATCGTTTCCAATGTAGTATATTGTATCCATATCCACTACAGTCTCTAACCTGGCTATCATGCGGTGGATGGAATGTATGCCTTCTGACCCCATTTTTTGAAGAATTCTCTCCTTCAGTTCATTGCATGTAGTGCCCACTTTGATTTTCATCGTTTTTGTTTTTCCTTCAAATCGGACACCGTTCGGACCTTCAAAATGCCTCCCATTGTAGTAAACAACTATAGGAACCATGTTTGGACTTGAACTCATCTTTCACACAAAAATTAGATCTAGGTTTTGGGTTTGGAGGTTGGTTCGGATTTTTTAGCACAAAATGGGAGTGTGGAGATGTAATCTCAATGTCCCACCAAGATTCAGCTTTCTGAAATGATGAGATGAAATATGTGTGATGTTTCGGATTAGAGAGGGTAAGAGAGAAAGATTTTGGGGTTTCAAAAACCCTATACCTCGCAACAATGGCCGAAACCCATACATATTGGGGTTTCTGGACGCGATTTACCCGGGTACACTGCTCTGTACCCGGGTAAATAATTCAAACATTTTCCCAGATTCAAGAACTCTACCCGGGTACACCCCTACATACTCGGGTAGATAAAAAGTTTCAAAATTTACCCGGGTAGGTAATGGTGTACCCGGGTAGGCTTCGTGGTCAACGGTCAAACAGGGGCAGATTGGTGTTATGTTTGTTGGGGAGGGTAAATTTTCGAAATAGTTTTGAATGAGGGGCAATTTGGTAATTAATTATTAATTAAGGGGCATAAGGGTCAAAAGTTCCCATGCTACCCTCTCTTTTATAATTCTTATTAGGGTCCCAACTTTTAAAGGAGAAGAGAATTTTTTTGCAGTAACTAAAAATAATTATATCTTATTGATAAAATATAATAGTAATATTAAAGTAATTTTTTCACTCTTCTCCACGTCAATCGATAACTTTATGAGAAAAGAAAAAAAAATAGTTTCTAAAATTACAACTATATCTTATCAATAAGACATAGTTATTTTTGATTGCTGCAACAAAATTTATTCTTCTTTGAAAAGAGAAGTACATTTCCCTTATTAGTAACAATTATGATTCGAAAAATTTATTCAGTACTACGAATATATTAAATTTTTAGTGCATTTTCCATTTACAATCGGATGCATATTCTATTTTTTATCAAGTCATTAATAAAATTAGATAAGAGAGTGATTTAATAAAGGGTTCATTTTTCTGCAGTAGTTACTGCAGATAACTTATCTGCAGTAAGCTCAATACGTTATTTTAGGACAGAAATCATGGTGTTTTTATAATTTAAATTTATTTCAGGGTTGTTATAGTCTTTATAATTATAATTTTTAATTTTTTAATCCCAAAATAATTTTGTTTTAAAAATAAATATATGCCTGTAAAAATATTTCTCTGTTTAATAAAATATAAGAATATCACATTGTATATGGAACATGTACTAAAAACTCAATAGATCCGTATTATCAAAAATATTCTCCATGATTCGATGGGGTTCACTGTTGATTTTTGTGCCCATTGCACGTGATCACACAAACAATTGTAATGGGTCATTTTCGGACTTAAAAGTGGCTAAAACAGTAAAACTCTCATGAAAATTAAACAAGGTAAGAAATAATTAAGATGTAGATAAACACGAATCCACTTGACCTGAGTATCCAGCATAAGTCAATCACCAATTAATGTGCATAAAACTTGGTTTACATATGCGTTGCGTGGAGAAGTGTGCGAACTTGTGTGAATGTATGTTTAGGTGTATTCAGGGAAGAAGCACATGTACACAACAACACAAAATCTATAGATTTGATAGGCACAAGTATAACAGAAAGGAAGGTGTTGCGTGAACGCAACGAAGACACCATCTTTGGCAAAGGAGTGTCTCTATTTGGTTAGTGGAGTCTATTGCTGCACCGAATGTCACTGCTGTGTAGTGGCCTTTTCTTATCACTCCTTGACCTATCTTAGTCTTAATTTGGGCATTGAAAACAATAGTTTGGTAACCGTAGCCAATAATGCATGTAAATTAAAAAGCTTTTTTGTTCATTTCGAAGATTCCAAACTTGGCCTTGCATCTAATTTAGAAAAAATTGTGATAAAAGCGGACCTATAAATTGAAGTTAAGCATCGATTTTTTTTCTTTTTTGATTTTGTCGGCAGTTCTGAATTGGTTACCGCTAGAGCTTGGTCCTTTCCACATCTAGTTATTGTTGTTTAACTAATTATATTACTTACATGATGGATCATTTCACCTATAATTCAACCAACTTTGCAACTTTTTTGAGACGAAGTTGTGAAGATTAATTGTTCTTCAAGTTTGGCGTTAATTTGACGCCAGAGGTTATGCTATAGGATTTGATTTTATTATTATTATTGTTACTATTATTTTTTTTTTGGTGGTAATTGTTGTTATTATTATTATTATACAGAAAGTCGAAAATTTCACTTGAAAGATCATTTTGACAGCAGATCCAATAGGATAAAAGCAATTGCGGTGCCGGAAGAGAAGAGAAAACAAAAACTAATATAATTATATGTTTTAAATCAAATACTTTTAACCCTCACAAAAAAACTCTTTCAAATCGAAATTTATAAATAAATGACTTTAGATTCACCAAAAATAAATAAATAAATGATTTTAGCTGTAACAGATAATAATAATTTAGTTCATTTCCCCCTTTATTTTTAAGTGGGTCAAAGTGATACGAAAGGTGTGAATCTTAAGATATATTTTTATGTGAATCTCGAACTCAAACATAAAGTTAAATTTGAGCTGCTTCAACTCGAACTAACGCAGGTTCATTAATTAATTTATATAATATTTATCTGAATTTTTTTGTCCATTTTGATGAGGATAATATATTATAACCAGAGATTAAAAAAAGAAACATAATTACCAAATTGGCATTGGACAAAAATAAAATTCGTTGGTGATTTTTATTACTATTATAAAAATTAAAGATTTGTTATTTCAAAGACTTGGGTTGAAAACTGGCTGAGCTACTCCTACTATTATTGTGTGCATTTTTTTTTTTTTTGGCTAATACTTCTCTTTTTATAACATGTAATGTGTGCTTTTTTTACCCCCGAAAACAAAGTCAATGTTGCTTTTGAAAAGTAAAACGTGGAGTAAATGAAAACGACATTTTAAGTGGGTAGTGAGCGCCTGATCGGAACGAAAGAAGAACCATCCAACAAGAGGGGTGAGTAGTAGGTAGGTGATATGTTCGATTTTCAATATATTCAAAAAAAATAAAAGAAAAGAAAAAGAAGAACCATCCAAATGTACAAACTACAAAGTCAATTTCATAATTTATACAAGGGTTTAAGTGTGAAATTCATGTTTTCTATTTTCTTCACGTTATTTCACATAAATTTTATACACTTATATATATATATATATATATATATATATATATATATATATATATATATAATAAGAGATAAAATTATCTTATTTCCTAAAACATAAGAAACATTAATTCTTTATATCAGTGTTTTAAAACCTGCCTCGGACCGGCCGGGTCGACCCGGGACTCGGTGACCTGGTGGGTTCCCCAGTCTGAGCGGGTAGTTAGATCGGTTATGCAGTCAGCCCGGATTGGACCGGTTGACCCGGCCGAAACCCGGCAACCTGGCGACTAGGTTGACTCGGGTTAAACCGGTTTTTCCTTTTTTTTTTTTTTTGGTAAATTTTTTTTTTTGTTGATAAGAACTCTTGAATTAAATCATATTCATATTTTATGATGAATATGATTAAAAGTAAGGTGAAAATAATAAGGTATTTTAGATTAGTGTAGTTCGTTTATGTAATTTAGTTGCATCTTATAATGATCTCATGAAGTTAAGTGGTGATAAACACTGATAGTCTCGTGATCTCATCTCAACGGTCTAGAGCTAGAAGCTTAGAAGTATATAATATTTGCTATCATTGAAAACCAATTTATTTTTTGAAGCTCATAGATAGTTTTCTTATGTGAATTTTTATTAATATAAGTAATATTTTTATATTTTTAATATGTGAATAGTAAAATCGGTTGAACTCGGTTGAACCAGTGATCCAGTGATCCAGTACCTCGACCGGTTCGATGACCCGTCCGAGTTTTAAAAGAGTGCTTTATATAAAACAATAATGATGTTAATGATATCACATAGACAGACCCTCAAATATTTTATCGCAATTATTCATTTTCTCCACTTACAAGTCACATGAATAACTCATATTTTTACTGCGAGGCTCCAGGGTAAATCAGGTAATAAATATCACTTACCAATATAAAAAAAGTGATGTGTCTGTGAGACTGTGACACTGGCCAATGTACAGAAGCTGTTTTTCAAGCTTTCCCCCAAGTTAAACAAACCTTAAACAGCTTTAAGATTCGAAAAGTGGCCGCTGTAATAAAAACCTCAAAAGCCCGGCAAACACTGTTTCAGTGGACGAACAGTGTATAAATCTCCCTCCCACACTCTTCTTCCTTTTTCCCTTCCCTATATGATAATATTTATTTATTCCCTTATTAGCCAGAGCCAAGATATCTTGAATAATGCATTGTTTGGGCCATTAGTCTAAGTACTTCCCCCTTCTTCTTTTCTTCTTCAGAAGTGTGTTGTTTCTTTTACAAACATAGAGCGGTAGGGTCAGAAGAGCCATGGCGAATCTTTTCTGGGTTGGCATTGTAATAGGACTTGTTTTTAGCAACTGGGTTGATGGCTTTGCAGCTTACCATTATCCTCACCTCAATGAAACTGAGTTTTCTTTGTTGGATGCTCATGAAGCATCCTTATCCTTGGTTGGGAGGAACCCTCTCATGGTAGGACTCACCCTTATTCCAAGTGCTGGTGCTAAAGGAGCAGGTACAATCTAATTGCAACCTTCATTATTTCTTGTCAGCTTTTTTTTCTTCTGTGTTTTTTGGGTTTTCCCCATCTTCATTTTTGTTGTGTATACTTTTAATCTGATTAGTTGTTTTGATGTAGCATTGGTGAAACTGTGCATTTTTTTTAATTTTTTTTTTGTTGAGGGCATTCTTGTTATTTTAATAAGACTGATTGTTATTCAGAATGTAGTTTATTTAATTAAAAATTGGTTTTTCTATTTAATATTAATTTCTTAAAAGTTTTGTTTCTGAAAATTTATACCCCCCCCCGCCCAATTGTTCTTATACCATGTACGGGAGTGTTGGATACCATGGATATTAGCCTTGTTTGGTTGTTTATGCCAATTAATGTTGATTAACTTAAAATATGAAGCCAGATATAAAGAAACTAAAGCATATAAAGCCTCAGTTTTTCGCCATATCTAAGAATTTATAGCCTTTAGTTTATCTTAATATGCTTCCTTTCTTTGATGTGGCAGTTTGCTTGGATGGAACATTGCCTGGTTATCATTTGCATCGGGGATATGGATCGGGAGCAAACAGCTGGCTCGTTAATCTAGAGGTATCACATGATCTTTCAAATTGTTCTATAACACATGCTTCTTTTTATTTCTCCTTTATAGATTTAGATTTGTTTACCAAAAGAATAAAATAAAAAAATCTTGCAAATAACCAATTTCACCTTAAACTGGTGATGCTACACAATGGCAGAGCCAGAAAATTTTGTTTATGTCTGCACATTTAGTGGCGGGGTCGGGTTAGCCCCTCCAAGTTTTTAAAGAAAGTTTTAAATGCATTAAAAAATTAAATAATATAAACAAGAAAAAAAAAGAAAACTTCAACTTAATATAAAAATAATAATAATCAATAGTCAACTAAGTAATTACAATAGAACGATTACAATCAAACATAAATCAATTAGAGAATCAACAAATAATCATGACTAAAACATCCATAGATGCACCCAGCAGAATTGAAAATTCTGAAATAACCCCTACAATAATTATGTTGTCAATCCTTGAGAGTAGTCAATAATTTCTATAAAATCCTAAAATGGACAATCCATTTCTATATAATTATGTACTTGTCAACATATACCCGCTGCCAGAACATACTTTGTATGTTAGAAGAATAAACAAGTATGCAAAATTAGTAAGATATTTTTTTTTTTCAGAAATTACTGTGTGCACTTGCCGTCAAGTGCAATAATGTGGGTTCGCCGTTACTTGAAGAGTGGATAATGCACAGACCCAGTTGTGCTAAGAAATTCTACAAAATTTAATTAATTATTAATTAAATGAGGAGGTAATGATCAAATCCGTGACACCAAACTTTGATTACAAAGAAACAATTTAACCCAAAAGCTTAGAGTGAGACTACTTTGATGTTTTATACTTCTTTAACATGCCCCTCATACGAGAGCGCACTAGGCTTGAAAGGTGGATAATACACACACAAGTGTGCTAAGAAATTCCATGATACTTAATTGATTATTAATTAAATGTGGGGATCGAACACGTGACCACGAGGCTTCAACGCAAAAGCTTAAGCAACTTTACAAATCTCATGCAACTTTAATGAACAATTGAGCATAGTTTAATGGTTGATAAGTCTTTCTTTTGGTATTTAAGAAACATTTCTTGTGAAAGGTTTGTCAGAATCCACTTTTCTTGTGAAAAAATATGATTGAAATGAAAATATTCAGATAAAAAGTTTAGGATCCAAACATGTCATATGTTGCTGTTTTTAAGTATTGTTTATTGTTCAAGCTATAAAATTTTCTGTTGGTATTTAAGGGAAAATCCTTTGGCAGGGAGGTGGATGGTGTAATAACGTCGGAACATGCGTTTATCGCAAGAAAACACGGCGTGGATCATCAACATTCATGGAAAAGGAGATACCTTTTACGGGAATATTAAGCAATAATGCTCAAGATAATCCAGGTTTTCATTCGATTGAACGACCCGGACTACTCAAACTAAAAATAAAATAAAAATTGCTTAGCCTTTTGGTTCATGTTGTTCCTTGTGATTGCAGATTTTTTCAATTGGAACAGAGTTAAAATTCGCTATTGTGATGGTGCCTCTTTTACCGGGGATGGTGAAGATAAGGTATATTTTGATATGTTGGAGTTCTTGAAAATTCAAATGATATTTAATTCTGTAATGGCTGACAAGAAGATGAAATAACTAAAATGAAATGTGGTTGCCTTACAATATTAGTTTAGTGTCTGCATTAACATTCGTTACAGCATAAAGATTAGATAACTCTAAAGAAGAATATACAAGATAACTCTCTTTAACTCTTTTCTTTACCAGCTCCCTTATTTTCCTTTTGTTCAACTGTATACTTTGTCTTAATGAACTTTACCAATTGCAAACTTTCTTCAGAACAGTTTTTATTCGTTGCATCATCTGTTATTGTTAGCTGGGGATACAGGTATTTTTTTGGATACAAGTTACGTGTAGATACTAAAAATTTAAATAAAGACAAAGGGAGTTGGTTCAAGTGGTACATGCTTGATTCCACTTAAGCAATGTTTTGGGTTCAAGACTTTGTGAATGCAAAAAATTTCCTTTGGGAGAGCTAGCCCTACCATAATGTGAATATTCCCGACTCGAATAGGGTTACTTTCCGTGGAGGATGTTTGTGGTTTATCTAAAAAATAAATTTAAATGTAAAAAACTTTATGAGTGAGGCATGAGGAAGAGAAAATAACACTTTGCTGATGACACTTCACGCACATAACTTGACATTCATCTTATCAAAATGAGGGTTATTGCACAATACTTACTTGTGAATATTATCTGTTGAGATAGGGTGCGCAACTGCAATTCAGAGGGCAACGTATTTGGTTGGCTGCAATGGAGGATTTGATGTCAAAGGGAATGCGTTTTGCCAAGCAGGTTGTATACATATACACACACATATACAGTGCTACTTAAATAATCTTTCTTCTCATGTTAGATACAACTATTTTTGTTTCAGGCACTTCTTTCTGGATGCTCGGCTGGTGGTTTGGCTACTATTATACACTGTGATGAATTTCGAGGACTATTCCGAAGAACCACCAAAGTGAAGTGTCTTAGTGATGCTGGGTTATTTCTTGATGCGTAAGTGGCTAAATGCAGTATTTCATTCTTTGAATGCCATCTCCATCATTACCAAAGGATTTTTGGTCCTTAAATTAATTGTTAATTGTTTTCCCCCTGAATTATAGGATTGATGTATCTGGTGGGCATACCCTCAGGAATTTTTTCAGTGGTATTGTAAGGTTGCAGGTACTGCATTGTTTATTCAAGGCCGCCAAATTATTGTAGTATGAAAGCAAAATACATTTTAAAATTACCATTTCATGGTCATCTTGACAATTGACTAATAGTATGTGGTTCAACTACTTCAGAACCTTAAGTTAATGTGAAATAAAATGTTAATTTGCCTTAAATTTACTGTTGGATATATGCTGTTATGGTCATGGATCTTTCACATGGGTTTTCACCAAACCTAAGCAGGAAAGATCAAATTGTTTGCAGTTAAATTGAATTTTGAAAACATTTGTTTAATATGAAAAGACACAGACTGCAACTAATTTGGGATAAAGGTGTTGTTGATGCTAATGCTGATGTTGTTGTTTAATATGAAAAGAGTATGTACCACATGCCAAATAGTGTTTTGAAACTTGGTCATTTGACATGAAAACATTTGTTTAATATGAAAAGTTATACAGCTTGGTGATAAATATTTTATCCATTCATTGCAGGGAGCGCAGAAGAATCTGCCGCACAGTTGTTCTAATCACCTTGATCCCACTTCGGTAATCATTGTCATATTCTGAAAATTTAGAAATATCAGTTTCATTTGAATGAATATGCGGAAAATCAAATGCTCCATAAGTGTTGCTTGCTCTGAGTTGACCTCTCAGTGATGTAGCTTTCACCTCTTTCAGTGCTTCTTCCCTCAGAACTTAATTGCCAGTATCAGAACCCCACTATTCATTCTTAATACCGCCTATGATTCATGGCAGGTAAATGTCTGATTTCGTCACCTGGTTGTTCTAACTCCTGATAAATCATACTATATGGTCTCTGGTAGTAATGATGCATTAAATTAGATATAGACATATTATACTAAACAAATATATTTTTCTGTTTTTCATCAGCTCCAGTCAAGCTTAGCTCCTCCATCGGCAGATCCCCATGGCTATTGGCATGATTGTAGATTAAACCATGCTAGATGTACTAGTTCACAAATCCAATTTCTGCAAGGTGATTTGATGTATGAGAAATAGCTTTCATTAGAAGTACAGAAAAAGTCTTAAATAAATTAATCAGTATACCTAGTTCTTTCACTGTATCTAATACAGGATTCAGGAATCAAATGCTGAATGCTGTTAGAGGTTTCTCAAGAGCAAATCAGAATGGATTGTTCATAAATTCATGTTTTGCTCACTGCCAAAGTGAGAGGCAAGATACATGGTTTGCTGACAATTCTCCTGTCATTGGGAACAAGGTGAGCGTCACACGTCTCTAATGCAGTTCCAGTTAAAAAATAGAGTAAATACCTTTTTGGTCCTCAGCAAATTTCACGACACCCGTTTTAGTCCCTAGCAAATAAAAAGGCTCATCGTGGTCCCTAAGAAATTCAAAATGGACCAATTTTAGTCCTTTTAGGGATTAATACGGGTCTTTTTTTAAATTTGTGAGGGACCAAAATTTTAACTAAATGGGTCCATTTTGAATTTCTTAAGGACCATGATGGGTCTTTTTATTTGTTAGGGACTAAAACAAGCGTCATAAAATTTGCTGAGGACCAAAAATAATATTTACTCTAAAAAATATTACATGTTGGTATTGTGGTTCTAGTCATAGAAAAACTCGAAATAAATAAAAGAGGAGGCTGAATTATTAGATAGTGCTTATATAATTACTAAATGATGATATATGATTTTCACCAAAGAATATGCACAAGGAGAAAAATTCTAGGAAATTGTATATGCTTGCTTTGTTTATTGGTCATATATATGCTTGCTTTTGGAATCTAACAGTAACATATATGCATTGACAATATGCAGGCAATTGCTCTGGCTGTTGGAGACTGGTATTTCGACCGAGCAGTTATTAAGGATGTTGATTGTCCTTACCCTTGTGATAATACATGCCACCACCTGGTTTTTAGATGAGCCAAATTTCATCAATTGTCACAATTTCATTCACCTCATTCATTTGGATTTGGGCCTATTCAATTAGGAAATCACGCTGCTCATTTAATTACAAAAGACAATAAAAGAAAATGATTGCTGAGAAGTGCAAATTTAGTAAGCCATTTCCATGATTTATGAGAGTGGCAGAAATTTTTTCTGCAGTAAAAACAAAAATACTAAACCCCTTCAGCTCAAGCATGTGTGCTGCCATCTTTTCAAAATGGAAATGGATAAAAAACGTGCTCTACCATTTTTTTTTTCGAAGAAAAAAAGATGCACCGTAATTTTTCTTCACACAAACCCATTCTGTATCCTTTCAAAATTTCTCTTTCTCTACTTCCTTTGATATTGCTTTTCTTGTTTCCATTTTGTATTTTTTAAAATCCCAATATGCAATATATTGTCTGATTGAAACTAAGACTATGCCCCAATGTGGTGGCAAAAAAAAGTTTACGGTCTGTTGGCATCTACGATGCATTGAGACTGACATGACACGATACGCTGACACGTTAATTTTAAAAAAATGTCATATTTCAACACGTTGTGACATGTTTTGATATTAAATAAAATTTTTAATATATATAATATAATTTATATTTAATACATATAATAGTTCATAATAAGTCATATAGTCAATCAAATATTCAAATTTTATAACATAAATGTAAACAAAAATAATTTTTCGTACTATGTTAATTTTTCATGTCAAATTTCAAAATAGAAAAAAATTGATTTATAAATTATTATTTTTATATTTAGTTAATAAAATAAAATTAAGACTAAAAAAAAAATGACGGATGTGTGTTGGAACATTAATCGCGTGTCGAAAAAAGTTGACTGTGTGTCAGAAAAATGTGTCTAATAATTGACCGCGTGTCTCAAAATATTGCTCACATATCAAACGCGTGTCAGAACGTATAGAATATTTTTACAAATCGCGTGTCTGTGCTTCTGTGATTGGGATCATGGCTCATGATAAATCAGACCCAACGAAGAAACTTATCCTACTTTTCAAGTTTTTTTTTTTTTTGATACACCTACTTTTCAAGTTTAAATGAAACATTGGCTCATGATAAATCAGACCCAAATACCCAATGAAGAAAGTTATATAGTTTTCAAGTTTAAATGAAACATTTTCCTGCTGTTGAAGAGAGACGCAAATAATGTTGAAAATTCAAGTATAAGTATATTGATTAAATATAAATCAAATAAAGATAATATAAATGCGAAAGACGACTTGCCGTTTTATTTTGGATAGGAATATAATGCCGTATCCAGTTATTCTCATTAATCATTTGACCCATCCTTACAAAGTGTTTTGTGCTTCACTCAGAAGAAAAATTCCAAGGCACTAGTGCCGGGCTCCTTACCCAGCAGGATCAAGTATTTTTTTTTTTTTAAATATTTCAATTGATTCATTATTTTGCTATTAGTCCGATTCGGTGCGATTCCTGAGATTAAGATTTTAAACTCATTCCAAAGACAGTATTGAAGAGAATCAAACATATACTTTTATTCTAATTGCTCAGTTCTGTGATGCCAATTGAGTTATTTTTTTTAAGTAGTCTATGATACAGAGGAAACATTTTCCAGCATTAACAGCAATTAATTAAGGGCTTAAGTTTTCTGAAGTAGGTGATAGAAAACAAATTGTCTGCCATACAAATCAAAAAATTGGGACCCACAAATTTATTTAAAATAAAAAAACAGAAAAACAAAAACGAAAAAAGATGTGACAACAGTGGCAAAAACGAAAAAACAGAAATAATTTTCTCATTAATTATATAAGAACACAATAGTCTTGAACCAAGCAGTTAAAATCAAAATTTTACATAAAATTGAAAGGGGTTAAAAATCATAATGTAAAAAGATCATAAAAACATAAAAATGTTTAGAATATTAGTAAAATCATAAAAACATAAAATCATAATGATAAATAAAAGTCATGAATAATTTTTATGATTTTGGACTTAACTTGATTTGGGCCTCGAAACTTGAATTTAAGTTAAAAATTGTAATTTTAAATGACAGCAAAAATTAAAAATAAATGTAAAATTTATTTTAAGAAGTGTATAATTTGACACATAAAATCAGAAAAAAAATTCATATTAAAGGCGAGATAGATTCATTATATAATTGCTTACCAAAAAACAAAAGATTCATTATATAATAAAAAATTCTAAATTTAAATTATTATTATTACTTTTTTTAAAAAAAAAACTGCTGCAAATCTTTTTCTATATAGATTACCCTAACTCTAACAGCGTTCACCTTCAATTGTCTGTTTAATAATATCTACACTCCTAAACGTTCACCTTTAATAGTATCATTAATCATGAGCAATTCTGTTCGTAATGGTTAGCTCTCTTAATAGGGAATTTTTTTTTGCATTCATAATAACTTGAACTTAACACCTCACTTAAACGGAATCAAATATGCATGCATCACTTAAACCAACCATCTTTTAGTCATGTATATAGTTCACAGTTGATTGTTCATTGTGCAGTTCATTCAACTTTTGTCCAACTCTTATTATCCTTCACTTTCTTAAAAACTATATGCACAAATTATCTGTCATCCAGAACAAGTCTTCTGATAAGGCACAAACTATATTATATATCTTCATCAACACCGTCATTATCAGTTCAATCATTATCATCATAATCAACAATTGTTTATTAATTACTTGTCTTTGCATTTATATTATAAAAATAGCATACAGATGTATATATATATATATTTTGTTCCTCACACAATTATATGAATGAAAAGAATTTAAAACAAAAAACTTTATGAAGCTTGTTTAACTAGTATATTAATATTTTACGAGGGATCAAACTTGGGATTGCATAGCCACCACCCATTATCCTTCTCGGGATATTTGTTCTGTTCCTGTGCACTGATGATTGTAGGACCCAAGAAAATAGACCCAATAATTTGTTTCACATGCATGAAGATTTTAAACATATCATACCATTGCCTGCAGATTAAAGAAATAATAAGCATGGAAATATTTAATGACTGAGAAGACCTATTGAATGTGTGTGCACATGGACAATCAACAGGGCTGCGAGGACGAGCAAATGGTGTTTGAAAGATTGAAGATGATTACTTAATGCTGATGGCTCGAATTTTGTCCTTATGTGTAAATAAGTAAATCCTAATAATGACATCTCTGATTAATATGACATATGAAACTTTTCTTCCTATTGGTAATAAAATTTTAGCCTTTTGTCAGGTAATTTGAGAAATGGAATGCTGAAAGAGAAAAGGGATCGTTGCATGCTTTGAAACGGTTTGACTTAAGCCAATTGTCAAATAAAAAAGAGTAATACAATAATTTTTTTTGTTTTTGAAGCTAGTTTTCACCTTGCAGCTGGTCAAAGGGTAAATATAAACTCTGCATGTTTCTGTATACTTAATACTTTAGTTTGTGGGTTAATTTCCCAGCAGTTGCTATCCTCAACTTTTTAGTTTGTGTAATGAAAATTTTACAGTATCTTCAAAGGTTTGGTGTAGCCAGTAGCCACCTCAATTGTAAATGAATGTTGGATGAATTTATATCCAAAATAAAAATACAATAACAACAATGCAGGATACCGAATATATAGCAGTTTTGTATTGGTCAAAACTGTTTCACTACTTTGAAAGGAAACGAGAGAAAAGAAAAACTTGTTTCTGTGGTGGGGTGATGCTTCTTCAGGACAAGGTCTAATTGAAGGGATGCTTTCTTTCGTTTTCATATTTTTCTCTCGGTCATTTCTGTCATGTCTGTGTGAACTTCCCAATTTTTTTTATTATCTTGCAACTTTCTCTTTCAGCATCAGTACATGCAGATGCTCACCGGGGGGACCCATTATCTTGTGCAAAGCTTTTAGAGGCTTAGGCCCACGCTATTGACATTCACACAGAATCCTCTTGTTTTAAATTGGTACACATTGTGTCACTTCCCAATACACCAAAATAAATTACATTCAATTACTAATCCATTTTCATTTTCTTTCCCCTTTTTTTTTGGACTTACACTGTGTCTTTAAGATAATTTTAGCTAAAGAAATCTGTTACATAAGTTTTATTTTTGTGGCCTTTATTGAACTGAATTGAATTTCTTAACTAGCCGGTGGTGTGCCATAAATTTGTTGTGTGGTTGTTGCCTCTCTGTGTGTAAAGTGTACTATGTGTAATGTGTACAACTTTTGAAATAGGTAAATCAAAGGAAGACAAGAATTGTATGCTTTCTTGTCTTCAGTCATTCAATCTCTATTATCTGTAGGAGACAGTGACAGACACCCATTTAAAAACTATGGTCCCTATTGCTTTGATACTGTGAGAGAAAAAAAAAAGATGGAAAAGTTCAATGGATTCTCAATTTGAAAAGTCTCAAGTGAAAAGCTGACTAAGTAAAAAAGAGTGAAAGAGAGTGAGAACAAATGCCGGACATCTAAAAGATATTAGGATTTGAAACTATTCAGTCACACTCACACGCACGCTCCATGAACTTAATGGCAACTGTTGAAGTGCAGGTACAAAAACCTTATTGAAACTTGAAGGCACACAAATATAAAGAATGCAGTCTATTGTCCACAGACAAAAGTAACAAGCTACATATCCATAATAACATAAGAATTATGTAAGAAAAGAAGCCTTGGAAACAAGCCTTATTCTGCAGTAGAGCCTTCGTGTTTGATGAACAAAATGGTGGGAACTAGGAAGAAGCTGGAATCAATCACAAATATATTATACTGTAACATAATGCTGAGAGTTGTGTTTTTTTTTTTTGGTTGTTGTATCAGAAACATATACAATATCAAAAGAAAAAATAAAAAAATAAAAATAAAGATGAAGAAATTTACAGCACACACCTGTGGTCAGAACTCACAAGAGAAAATTCTGACCTAGTTCATATTGGAAAGTCGGCATCTTTAGTCTCTTTTCTTTGAATTGAAGTTTCCACATATTACATACAAGCTACAGGGTTTGTCCAAAAGCCACTGAATATCTCTGCAGATCCTTGGTATATATATCTGAAAGTTGAAAAGGTGGTGGTTGCTGCTGGCTATGGTGCCAACTAGTACTTGACTCGTCTGCTATGAAGCCTGTTTCTGGTTTAATCTCACTGTAGATAGATTGAGAGGTTTGATTCTGCACTGTGTTCCCTAGAAGAAACGGGGTGTTAAGATACTCACACCATTTTATTTCCTCTTGTTCTGCTTGTAGGGACACATGAGTATTCTCTTTATTAACCTTCATAGACTCTGCTAGCCCCCACGTCAGAGTGTTGTTGTCAAGGAAGTTTGTGCTGCTTTGTAACTGGATACTGTTACTGCTCCCATTGCTTTTATTTGCCATGTTACTGTTGCTGAAGTTACTGGATTCCCAGTTTTGAACCCCATCAATATCGCCAGAGGATATTGAAGGATTGTTATTAGAATGGAGACTCATAGTGGGCTTCACATGTGTTTGAGTTGGGAAAATTGTGCTTGAAACAGAATGGAGCATAGAGGAGTTCATGCTAGAATTAAGGTCTGACATAACCTGGGAAGAAGTGGATGTTGGTAGGAAGCAAAGTGAGGTGTTGGGATTTGCAGAGAGACCCATATTTGGTACATAGTTCAACTGTTGAAAAGAAAAATATGATCCAACCATATCAGATGGTTTGCAACTGGTGGTGATGGAGCTTTCATGGCAGGTACCAAACCTTTCTAGGAATAATTCCTGGGTGGGATTGGTGTTGGTCAAATTGCTGCTGCTAGTGTTGTTGATCTTGGAGCTAGTAGAAACTTCCAGAGGGTATCTCTCAACAGGCATGGAAGTTGAGTTGAGTTTTGCTGGCTCAACCAAACTCACTTCATTGGATCCCACTGAGGCTTTATTCTGATTGCTTTTGTCGGCTGTGAGTGGCTTGTCCTTGTCGTTCTCAACCTCAGAGAGTGGTTTGTGTGTGTTTGGGTCAATGCCACTTTGCCTCAGCTTCTTCTTGAGGCATGAATTCCATAGATTTTTAATCTCATTGTCAGTTCTTCCTGGTAGCTGTGCTGCAATCTGAGACCACCTGATAAAAAAAACCATAGAACAAGAACCATAAGTCAGAAAAAGCAATAACTAAATGTTAAAAAAGAAAGACAATTCCTCAACTGAACCATTTAACTAAACTACTACCTATTGCCAAGGACTGCATGAAGTTCAACAATCAAATTCTCTTCCTGCTGTGAGAATGCACCTCTCTTTAAATCAGGCCTCAGGTAATTTATCCACCTCAACCTGCAGCTTTTCCCACACCTTTGCAAACCTGGCATATACAATACACACACACACACAAAGGAAGGTTATAAAGGGTCTCTGATCTTGTCCTTCATTTTGTGCACACACACTACAATATCAAAAAAATGATAATGTTATATATATGTGTATAGTAGTGACTAGTACCAGCTAGTTTGGGGACCGAACTCCAACATCCATGACCATGTTTTGTGATGTAATTCAAAAGCTTCTCGTCTTCCTCTGGAGACCAGAGGCCTTTCCGTAACTTCTGTTTGAAGCAGCAAGAGTGCCTTCCCATGTGCACGTCAAGTTTTGTCAAACCCACAAAAACCAACGCTACTCTTGTGTCCAAACCTACGTGGACTGTGTGTGGAAGAAAACCTAGGAAATGAGAGTGAGTTTTGGTGGGGTGAAGGGAAGTATTATTAAGAGAGGCCTTAGTTGAACAAGCAAGTCAAGAAAATAAAATGGCAACTTGATAGGGAATCAAATATATAGGAGGGGCCTTAAACAAGAGAAAGTTGTACTCTAGAGATGATTGGACAGTGCCATTTTTTAATTAATTTATTTATTTTTTTAAATTTATATCTGACTTTCCTGAACTGGGTTCCTCTCCCTTCTTCACGGGACAATCCACATAATCACTTGGGTCCCACTAGCTTGGTCATCATGTTCTGACGGTCATGGTGCTCCTGTTCCTATTCATTTGATGCATAGGAAACTACCGCATAAGATTATTTAGTTTTGACTTATATATACGGAAAAAGTTATTGTAAACAACCTTGGATACACTATTTCAAAAGCTAATTCAAAGAGTGAGAGTGTCTAAGACTTTATAAATTTCACATTAGATTTTGGGGTGGTGATCTCAAGGTTCTTAACATGGTATCAGAGCGTTCGGAATCTCACCGCCTCCCACTTTCTTTGTAGTAGAATTTCCACATGTAGGTGGGCTTGTATGTTGTCCACCCTTCAAGCCCAGTGGGCTCTTGTGTGAGGGGCGTGTTGAGATATATAGTCTCACATTGATTGTATGTGCAACGAATGTGGAGTTTATAAGGCCTTGGACACTCTCACTCTTTGAGCCAGCTTTTGGGGTGGTGACCTCAAGGTTCTTTACAGTTACCAGCTTCCGCCTGGTTCGTCCTCGAACCACACCGTACTGGATGAGAGGCCCTGCTCTGATACCACTTGTAACGTCCGGCCACTTGCAAGCATCAACGACTATTCCCACACACTAACACGTGCTTTGCCCTCACTCGCACACTTCCCGAAAAAACTTCTCAGGAGGTCACCCATCCCTGAATTGCTCCAAGTCAAGCACGCTTAACTGTGGAGTTCTTCCGATCCGGGCTACCTAAAAGTAGATGCATCTTGTTAGTATAGGTAGTACCAATTAATTCTTATAAGTTATCCTCAGCTGTGCTGTCTTATACCAGCACAATCTCTAGAATCCCTCTCTTTTCAGTGTTATTTGATTCATTCACGTACCCCTCCCGCTGATAGTACGCTAGCTCTTCCACTAACCATACATTCAATTGTACATTAGCTCTTCCACTAACCATACAATTGTCAGCACTCGGGATGTTACACCCAAGACCTTATAAACTCCACATTAGCTTTTGGGATGGTGACCTCAAGGTTCTTAATATGGTATCAGAGCGTTCGGAATCTCACTGCCTCCCACTTTCTTTATAGTGGAATTTCCACATGTAGGTGAGCTTGTATGTTGTCCACCCTTCAAGTCCAGTGGGCTCTTGTGTGAGGGGGCGTGTTGAGATATATAGTCCCACATAAGTTGTATGTGCAACTAATGTGGAGTTTATAAGGCTTTGGGTACTCCCACTCTTTGAGCTAGCTTTTGGGGTGGTGACCTCAAAGTTCTTTACAGTTATATTTATAAAATTTTTGTTTACAAATTTTTATAAATTACACTTATTATGACCGATCATACTTCAATCAAGAGTGTATGACCGGTCATACTTAGTGTAATTTATAATTTTTTTTTTATAAACGGATGCTTCCCTTCTGTATATATATATATATGTAAATTTGTCATGTTCCACTTGCGAGGTCGAGGCATTTCCTCGAGAGATCTCAAATTTTAACATAAAAGTTCACATACTCCTATGACAGTGAATAAATTCCGAGTGATTTGTATATGCCAATTTTTGGTAAGTAAATGCTACAAATTAGCTAGCTAGGAAGGTGGTTGTGTACCATGCTGCTTAGAGCTGATACTTATTATCTCGTGTGTTTGAAACTTCTCTAGTGTGACGAAATGTCCCCATTCCCACATGATATAATGGCTAGAAGAGAAAGAGAGTGGAAATTAGAACTTTGTATGGGATTTGAAGGAGTGGCTTTGCAAGGATAAACCTACTCCAAGAATAGTAATATGAAGTATAAATTAAACATAAGATTTGATAAGGGCGAAATTCTCTTGGACAAGTAAAGCCTGAGATTAGCAAGGTGTGCAAAACAAAGTATACTGCATTAAATTGATGATAACAGAACCTTCTCTAGGCTCTCATGTTCCCTTTGTATATAATTCTCAAAATTTTGAAAACTCCATGGCCCTTTCCTTTTCTTGACTAACTTTTATGTCAGGTACTCTTTGGTAGAAAACTGCCCTTCTCTTCTTTTTGGCTTTTTGGGATTATTTTTCAAAATCATGATCGTTTGGAAAAGTTTCATCATTTGGGAACAAATGCAAAATTGCCTTTGACATCTGAGCAGGTTAAGGTCATATTTCTTTCATTAGAAACTGCTGGAAGTTCAACCCACTATCCGAATGATTCATCATTTTTGCAATTTGAAAATTACGTATCTTTTTTATTAAATGTACATTTCTTCAATGTCAATTTTCTGACTTCACACGACTTCTGTGTTTGTGTGGAAAGATACTAAAACCGTTGGTTTTTTTATGTAGGGTACTAAAACCATAGTTAATTTTAGAAGGGAGTGGATTCTCTCACGTGAAAAAGTGATTATGTGGTCATATTATTTCATCACAACTACTCGTTTAAAAAGTAGGGTTCGTTTTATCTGCAGTTATTGCAGATAAGTTATCTACAATAAGTCTAATACGGCGTTTTTTTGGGGCGAAAATCATGGTATTTTTGTAATTTTAATTTATTTCAAGATTATTATAGTCTTTATAATTATAATTATTTAATTTTTTAATCTCAAAATGATGTCGTGTTGAGAGTAAATACAGATAACTTATATGCTGTAACTGTAAAAATATTATTCTGTACAAATTATATACTTTTCTCTCTCTTATCTCATCGTCAATTAGTGATTGTGATTAAATAATATGACTATATGACTCCTCCTTCCAGAGAATCCATTCCCATAATAGAAATAAACAACTCTACTGCTATATACAAATGCGACAATCACAATAATGCAATTGGGATAAATCTTTTGAGTGCAACCATCCATTTATTTTATAATACGTGAATAAAACATATCACATCAATTGTCTGATAATGTGATATTTTATTTATAAAGTAATATTTTTTATTTACGTGTTACAAAATAAATAGCCGGTTGCATTGAATTTTGAGTGCAACCGTTGTATTCAAGATTTATTCATGCAATTGTCCCTAATGTAGTGTGGCTTGCATTTCTGCTTCTCTGATATATATGAAGCGAAATATACTTCTCCTTTTATTGTATAATTTTTTTTATACAATCAATTTTTTTTCGGTGAAGATACAACAATCGATTTTAATTATATACTACAGGTAATATATAATTATACTAATAAAATTATTTTTTTTCTCTGCTACATTAGCCGACAATATTTGAAGAGAGAAAAAATAATAATTTTATTATTATAATTATATATTACTCGTTTATAATCTTTTCTTTGCAGCGACAACAGCCAAAACACATCCATATATGAAAGCAGACAATTTTGGTAGATCATTTATTACAAAATGCATCCACGCTCAGATGGACACAACTTTTATTGCAACATGCAATTCGTTTGAGGTCTTGTACGCGTTTGCTCAATTTTTTTTTCTAGCTTAGCCTCAGGGAATATTTGGTATAAGTTTTTTGGATGAAATATTGTGAAAATGAGATGGGGATTTTTTTTTTTACCATATTTAATATGAGAAAATTTCGGAGTACTTTTTCCCCATCGTTTTTATTTTTAACTACACATGAAAAAAATAATAATCTCATTTCGTCTATGATATTATTTTTTTTCCACCAACTGGAAAACACATTTTCACATTTTGAGACAAAAATATCCTTATACAATATATCAGTAGATATGTAAAAATGGATAATTTTGTCATTTCGGTTCAGATTCCCGTTAATATTTTACAATTAACCAAACATAACATTAATAAAATAAACCCATCTTTTTCGAAAAAAAATTTGGACTACCAAACACCTTTTCGTAACTTATCCGAAAAAAGAAATTCCATCATATTCTCAAAAATATATATTTTTTAATAAATAAAAAATTTCCTCGAACAAGAAAATAACGAGTGAAGAAGATACACAAAATCTTATCAAAAAGATAATGTTGTTAGAGCAAAGGGATTGTGTCACTTCAAAAACACAAGAGAATGGCAGACCAAAACTGAATGAGAATTATTCATCTAGGTGGTAGCTATTATAGACATACAATAAAAAAATAACCAAATAATTACCTGACAAAGATAAAAGGCTTTGTGTTTGGGAAGAAAAGGTTCAACGGTTTTGGTCTAATAGTACTATTTGCCCCCATCTAGGGACAAATCATAAAAGCAGAGCAGAGAGATCATAGGTCCAAAAAGGCCATTAGTGGTATGTGTGTCATTCCAGGAGCTTTCTGACTTTAGTTACATAATGTCAATTTTAAATGGCCACCCTATTAACTACGAGATTCTCCAATATGTAATTATCGCAATCTCTAAATTTGAGTATTCACCCTTTTGAGTTTGGCTGCTTGACGAATCCAAAAACTACTAGAAAAAGAAAATACCTTCCTCACCGGTTAGTTATATCAGGAACTGGTTACCATGCATACTCACATGTCATCAATCAAGTAGTAAAAATGTAAAATAATATATTCATGTGCTTGTTGATTAATTTGGTAAGGGTAACAAATAGCAAAAGTAATAAAGGGTAAAACAGAATATTATTTTTCACAAAGATTGAGTTGCTAAAGTACAACTTCATTAGATAAACTATTATTTTGGAAATTAATTAATTTAAAAGAAAACAATATAGATAATGAAAATAAGTAATAAAAATCACAATAGTAAATTAGAGAGTTAGCATGTAATATTAAAG